AGGCTCCCCCATGCCAACAAAAATGGCTTTTATCATCTGCTTTCAGCTTATGGCTTTACACGTACATTGTCTTCATAATGATGAAAGTGAGATTTGCCTGTACTTACACAGTTGAGGAAACCACTTAGCATTTCGGTGTAAATCCTTCCGGACAAAAAGGCTCTGGCATGTTATACAACCTGGTCCATCACACACCTTTTCTCAGCACACAGGAGGAGATGAGCCCTATTTTTTTTTTTTATAAGATTTTATTTATTTGAGAGAGAGAGAGGGCACACAAGCGGTGGGGAGGGGCAGAGAGAGAGGGAGACTCCCCCTGAGTGCTTGATCCTAGGACCAGACCATGTGAGATCATGACTTGAGCTGAAGTCAGTTGTCTAACCGATTTAGCCCCAGAGATGAGCCCTATCTTAAGGACTGCATGGTGCTCTTTTCAATGTTTTATTTAACTACTTCACAGAAGTTTTAGGTGCTTTCCAGTTTTTCACTACTGCAACTATGTGCATGAATGTTTCCAAGTCTTAAACTTAGGCTAGAGTCTTGTAAAGAATTACTGAGACAAATTTTTGAGACAAACTTTTACTTTTGATACATTTTATCAAACTGCTTTCCAGAAAGTAAGTAAACAGTTGACCCCGTCACTGTCAGGGTAGGACGGTCTCTCTTCACTTTTGCCATTTGGGGTATAATTCGTCATCCTGGGAATTCTATGGGTTAAAAGGAGGTACATCACTTAAATGTACTGTTTGACATTTGTATTCCTGCTCTTATATCCTCCCTGTGGATCCTAAAGAGTTCCTTGGATATGGGCAGCTGGCTTCTTGTTAGATGTTGCACCTCTGGCTTTTAGTAGGTTTCCTAATTTGTTCACTGTAGTTTTTATGTAAGCACATTAGGTTTCTGCTGTACAGCTGTAAAGACATATGTCTTTAATCAATTACATACAGTACGTATGGTGTGGAAGAATGGAGCATTCGAGCAAAGATCAGATCAGGTCTTGGCTCCGTGCTTGTAGAGTGGCCCTACGCTTGCACCCAAGGTACACTTGTACACTTTCACCACGTGGTTAGAGTGCTTGGCTGTGCTGAGCTCGGGGCAGGAGGGTTTGGGAGGGCTCCGCAGAGCTAGTGGGGCGGGGGAGGGGGGCTTTCTGGCGCCCAGACCAGCTTCTCCAGCCCTCCCTGCCTTGCCTGCAGCTCATGATGGAGCAGTCCAAGAAGTCCTCGCTCATGGTGGCCCGCAGCATCCTCAACAACAAAATCATCAGCAAGAAGCTGGAGCGCTACCTGAAGGTGAGGCGCGCAGGCCCCTGGCCCCCGGCCCCCGCGGGTCCTTCCCTCCCTTCAGTGTTCGCCTCCTTCCCCACAGGGTGAGAACCCGTTCACCGATAGCCCCGAGGAGGAGAAGGAACAGGAGGAGGCCGAGGGCGGCGCCCTGGACGAGGGGGCGCTGGTCGAGGGGGCAGGGGGCGCGGAGGGTGCAGAGGGCGCGCCGGCGCAGCCCCCAGTGCCCCCGGAGCCGGCCCCCGGGGCCGCGTCCCCGCCGCCGCCGCCGCCGCCGCCGCCGGAGGAGGAAGAGGAGGGGGCCGTGCCCCTGCTGGGCGGGGCGCTTCAGCGCCAGATCCGCGGTATTCCGGGCCTCGATGTGGAGGCCGACGACGACGAGGAGGGTGGCGGGGGCGCACCGTAACCCGGGCTCCGGGCGGGCAGGACCCGCGTGGCCAAATCTGGAAGCCGAGCCTAATAAAGCTCTTCCCATCCCACTTATTTCTCGTTAGTTTTTTGGTGTGCAGCACGGTAAGCGTAGGAAGGAGCGGGGCTCGGGAAAGGGTGGGAGTGCGCCTGCGCACCGGCGGCGGGAAGGAAGACGGGAGCGCCTGCGCGTAGTAAGACTCCGTGGCCGGACCAAAACTCCCAAAATGCTGTGGAAGCCGAGCCCAAGCAACCGGAAGGCCCGCTGGGGCGACAGGGGCGGGTGCGCAGTGAAGGCCAGCCAATAGTGGTGAGCGGAAAGAGTGACGTATGCTCCTGGTCTTCCAGTAGCGGACGACGGAAGGTGTGTTGAGCGCATGCGTTCTGTGGCAGCTTAGAAAAAGGGGCTGCTGGCGGGCCGAGCTGAAGACATGGAACAGGGCTACGGAGGTTCGTTTGGGTGGCTCAATGCGGGGTGGGGCGGACGGGCGCTGCCTGGGCAACGCAGCCCCTGCTGCGTAGAGGGCCGCGGGCCCGGGCCTACGCCAGAGTGCGGTTACTCCAACCCGACCCAGCGGAGAGGCAGGGGCGCGCGTGCGCGCTGCTTATTGGACCTCGGAGCCGTCGCTCCCGGGGCGCTGCGTGCGGATTGGCCTGCGAGGCTTGGGGAGGCGGGCGGGGTTTGGCGGGCAGACGCTGCGGCGGGCTTCGGGGGGCGCCTTGGGCTGTCCTGGCCGTTTCTGCCCCTCAGCCCCGGCGAGGCTGGGCCGGTCGACCCCGCCGCTCGGAGGCCCGCCTTCCCCTTCGGAAGACCACAAAATGGCGGCGCCCGGGGGCGGAGCCACAGCGAGAGCTCGTGGGGCCCGGGGTCCGCGGTTGGAGGCCGAGGGAGTTCGGCTGCCTGTCTCCGGGCTGTGGCGCTTGGCGGGGGCCTGCGCGCGGTGCACGTGGTCCGTTGCGCCGGTCCCGGAAGCCGTCCAGGCCGCGCGGGGTCGGCCCTCTCACCTCCAGCCTCGGCATGCAGCGCAGTGGTGTTGAGCACGGCCTCTGCAGGGGTCAGTCTCGGCGGGCTCCTGCCCTGTGCATGATTCGTGCTGGCCTAGGGACAAGACTTGGGGATCAGGTGTTTGGGTGTCTTTCTGCGCAAAGTTGGAAACCTGATGTGCGCGGGGGGGGCGTGGAGGTGGCTGAGGGCTGTGAAAAGGGGAGTGTGCCCCTTGGGCCTCGGGGGCCTGCGGCAGGACGGATCTTCTCGAGAGACCCGGTCTCAGAGTCCAGAATCAGAGATTCCTAGGAGGCTTTTAGTCTGTGCTGGAAGCCAAGTTTGCCCGCAGGGAGCAGTCGAACTTTGGAATACGTGGGGTAGGGCTTGACCAAGTGCAGTCCTTATCCAAGTATATGAGGTTGGGGAAGCAAACAGTCTGATCTTGGCTGTAACAGCTGGAGAAGGCACAGATCTTGAAAGGTGGCAGTGTTGGGATACAGCAGCAGGAATTGCCAGAGGTCCTGAGGTGCACAGTGTGCTTGGGTGTCTCCAGGGTCCTGGCGTACCGCACCCGGCCTTTTCCGGTCTTTTCTGCAGTCTTACCAGGTCTCACAGTCCTTTGCCAACTTCCCCCCAGATCTTTCAGACAGTATTCCTGCCCCACGCACACCCTTAGCATGAAGAGGTTTTATTCCCCTCACTTCCTCTCTGCCAAAACCCTTCAGGCTCGGTTTAGATGGTTGGGCCTCCCTGAATCCTTCTGTAGCTTTGCCACCTAGGGTTATTTCTCAGGACTTGTTGAGCCTTGACAGCTGTTCTCTGGCTGTAGGAGGCACCTAGATCTGAGTTCACGTCCCAGTTCCATTCTCCAGCTTCATGATCATGGGCAAGTGACAACTAGCTACTTGAGCCTCTGGGTACAACAGGGTAAATATTACCCACCTAAAGGGGCGTTGTGAGGTTATGTGATTAACGTATGCTACTTAGATGAGTGCCCTGTACTTGGTCATTTGCTGATAGAATCGCTGCTCTGTCTTTCTGCCTCACACACATAGTAGGCTGTGTGGCTTGGGGAGACTAGCTTGCAGAGGGCAAACAGCAGCAGCGTGTCTTTGGATCAAGTCCCCTAACCTTTAAGCGTTAGCTCTCTCATCTCTAAATGGCATTCAGGGACACTAACCTGTGCTCGGTGCCTGTTGTGCGTTGGCACACACTGGACATTTAGCTAGTGGCTTGGGTTCTGGTAAGAGAGACAGGGTGTATTCCTATTTCTGTAATGTTGGGGATTGTTGACAGGTGTGGGTAGCTGCCTGTGCCCAGCTCTGTTTTGAGGTCCCAGGGACGCAGAGATGAAGTGGGCCCAGACATGCTGTCATGGGAGTCCGCAGGGGCAAGGGAAGCCACCACAGAGAGGAGTGCAACCCGGCTACCTTAGGCCAGGCTGAAGCCCTGGGACTTGAAGGCCCAGGGGAGCTTTGGAGGGTCCAAAACAGAAATGAGGCCTACAGAGACACTGTTGTCGTCTCCAAATTCTGAATTTTGTTTTTCGGTTATGGGGGACTTAAGGCTGCTTGGTGAGCCAAACTGCCCAGGGGTGCAGACACCACTGTGTCCTCCTACTGGGCCAGCTGTCGGTTTGTCCTGTGTTCTCCCGAGTTGTAGGTTGAGACTTTAGGCCAAGGTCCCTCAAAGCCAAGTCCCCCCAGCTCTTTCCTGCTTGGACCTCAGGCAGGTGGAGTATGGTAATGCAGTCAACCAACTGTGAAGGACTTTTAGAGGGACATTGTTGTGGTTCTGCTGCCTTGTGAGACTGGCACGAACTCTCATTCAGGGGGCTCGCTTTTGACTCCTCGGAACATCTCACAAGCACCTGTTGTCTAGTGTGACAAATAGGATCCTAACTCACAGTTCTTCTCTTCACAGGCTATGGGGCATGGAGTGCTGGACCCACCAACACCCAAGGTGAGACCGTATGGGGAGGCACGGATTCCACCCCCACAGGTGTGATCTGAGGTACTACCGTAACAAACCTAGGGATGGTGAACTGTGACCTGGAGAGGCTGACGAGAGGACTGGGACTAGCCGGGGGATCCGGAGACCTATTCTGTAAAGGGCTACATAGTAAAATTTTTTTGGCTTTGGGAGCTATACAGTCTCTGCAATGCAAAAGTCACAGATGTTTACTAAGAAACAGATGTGGTTGTGTGCCGGTGATATTTACTTGAGGGCACTGAAATTTGCATACCATATAACTTTCATATGTGATAGTCTTTATTTGAGGAATTTGGGTTATTCTAAGTAAACAGCCAAGGGTATGATGAAAGATTTTTATGATTGATAGACTTTATTTTTTAATAGTTTTAGACTTTTGGGGGGATTGAGCAGATAGTACAGGATTCCATATGCCCCCTCTACTTTTCACCCCAGGAGTTTCCCTTATTATTAATATTTTCCGTTAGTAAGATACATTTATTGTCAGTAACAAGTCAATGTTGATACTCTGTTGTTAGTTATGATCCACAGTTAACAGTCATTGCTTGCACAGTTCTGTGAGTTTTGACAAGTATATGAAGGACGACGCAAAGAATTCATTTCATGTCATAAAATTTTTTTTTTTTTAATCTCCCAACCATTTAAAAAAGTAAAACCCATTCTTAGCTTGTTGGCCGTACAAAAACAGGCAATGGGCTAGATTTGGCATGGGGGCCTGATTGCTGCCCCTGCTCTGGAATCTAGATCACGATGCTCTGTATGTTTGAAGGACCAGAATGTCCTCCCTGGTGGTGAGGTTTTCTGCTTTTTGCCAGCATTTGTTCCAGGGGATGGGATGAAAGCTCTGTTTTCTGAGCCTGGAACTTGCCCTTAGCACCATTGGGGGTGGTGGAGTCACTTTTTCACCCATCACCAAGTTTTCCAGGAGGAGGCCTTCCATGTCACCAGGGTACATAATGTCCCCTTGTTCATTTGAGTTAGGGACATGATTTTCCACTGATGCATTGTCTGTGCTAGTGGTGCCTGAGCTCTGGCTACTGGTGAGAACTGGCACTTTCGAAGGGCTCTGCCAGGGGATCTGGCCTCTTGGCTCGTGGCCCACGCTGAACACTTCCTGGGAATGCTGCAGCGTCCTTTCTGTTTTCCTGCTGGGGGAGATGAGGCTTGTCTATTAGAGAAGTGTTGGTTATGCTTAGCTGAGTGCTCCATAGGAAATGAGTTTTACAGCTAGTGGGCCCGAGCCATTCCTGGCCTTAATGGACAACCAGGGGTGCCTCCCACAGCACTGCCACAGCCGCCCGTGGCCCTGGACTTGCGGGTGGTGGAGGTGACGATTGGCAGGGGCTATCTCAGGTACCTTCATTCTGTATACAAAGCTTTTGTGTGTTTTTGTTCCCTCTAAGGTGCCTATGGAACCGGTGTGGCCAGCTGGCAAGGTAGGCCCTCCGGGTGTCTGTGGGTGGGCAAGACATTCCTCCGGTCAGCCACCCAGAAGCACTGGGTTACAGGGACCTCCCATCCCCATCTCCCATTCTAGCTGTGCTCCTAGCTCTCCTGAAGGCTTGGAGGTCCGGGCATTCTCAAGGAGAACTGGCTGGAGGCCGGGGGTTGTGGTTGTGTTCTTGGAGCAGCAGCCCCCACTGCCACTCGTGGGCTCTCAGCCACCTCTGGCTCTGGATCTGGCTCGGAAAGCCCGCGGCTCACTGCTGAGGCTGTGCACCTGCCCTACTTTTGCTGCCTTTTGGCAGGTGATGTGCACGATGTGGGGTGATGCCAGCGACACTTGATTCCTTAACACTCTTCCTTCTGTATGGGTAGTGGGTGCTTCTCCCCAGACGTGGCTGCCATAGACTGACCTTGTGGCTGCTGAGATCTGATTTGGCTCTTCCTCCCTACGGCAGGTTATGAAAACTACAATTATTATGGCGCCCAGAACACCAGCGTCACCACAGGAGCGACCTACAGCTATGGCCCAACCTCGTGGGAGGCCACCAAGGCCAGCGATGGCCTGGGAGCTGGGGGCCCTGCTGTGCACATGGCTTCTTATGGCCCAGAGCCGTGCACCGACAATTCCGACTCCCTCATTGCCAAGATCAACCAGCGTTTGGACATGATGTCCAAGGAAGGAGGCAGGGGCGGGAGCAGCGGCGGTGGGGAGGGCATGCAGGACCGGGAGAGGTGATTATGGACCTGAACCCTTCCCTGGGGATCCCCCCCAACGCCCCGGCTTTGTGCAGATGGCAGTGGGCACCCCCTCTTCCAGGGAGGGCTTTTCCCCAGCTCCCTCCTGAGTGTGGAGTAGATGAGTCGGGCAGTTACTGGGGCAGAGGCAGTGGACTAGTTGGTGCCCGGGGTGGTGGGGCTTAGCTAAACAGTGCTAGCGCTAGACTTCTCATTTCTGCATCAGGTGCCTGTAGACCCTCTCGTTCTTGTGGCCAAGGGCTCCATGTACCTCATTCAACAGCGTTCAAGGGGGTTTGTCTGTTGTGCCTTCTGAGCATTGAGGAGGGCTATGTGGTGGTGTGGTGTGCTGTTCTGAATGCAGGGAAGCCAGCTTTGCAGGAGACTTGGGCTTATACCCGGATTGTAGTGACGGTTATGCTTCCTTTGCAGCTCCTTCCGCTTCCAGCCGTTTGAGTCCTATGACTCCAGGTCTTGCCTCCCCGAGCACCATCCCTATCGCCCCAGCTATAGCTACGATTATGACTTTGACCTGGGGCCTGACCGAAATGGTGGCTTTAGCAGTCAGTACAGCGACTGCCGGGACCCAGCCCGTGAGCGGGGCTCCCTTGATGGCTTCATGCGGGGCCGGGGCCAGGGCCAGGGCCGCTTCCAAGACCGGAGCAATCCCAGCACCTTCATGCGCAGCGACCCTTACATGCCACCTGCAGCCTCCTCCGAGCCCCTATCTGCTCCCTGGACTGAGCTGAACTATGTGGGTGGGCGGGGCCTGGGAGGCCCCTCCCCCAGCCGGCCGCCTCCTTCCCTGTTCTCCCAGTCCATGGCCCCTGACTTCGGTGTGATGGGCATGCAGGGGGCTGGTGGTTATGACAGTTCAGTGCCCTATGGATGTGGCCGGTCACAGACCCGGATAAGGGATCGGGTAAGCCTTCGGGAAGTTGTAATCTGCCTTCTTTTCAAACAGCTGAATAGAGACAAATTTGTATCCTGTAAGATCTCATTTTTAAGTGCACAGTCGAGTTTTAGTAAAAATGTACAGAATTGTGCAGCCTTCACCACCATCTAATTTTACATTTCCACCAACTGGAAAAGACGCAAACCTCTGCCATTAGCAGTCACCCCCCAACCTCGCCTCCAGCCTTGGCAAGCGCTAATCTGCTTTGTGTCTTTGTAGAGCTGCCTCTCCCAGACCTTTCATACAAATGTAATCATGTAACATGTGGCCTTTTGTGTCTGACTTCTGCTCGGCATGAAATTGGGGGAGAGGGCAGGGTTCAACTATGTCATTTCCCTTTATTTTCTGAAAAGATCTTTTCTGCTTCTGTTCTCTGATCTTACAATCTCTCCGCTCTTCTCGTTTCTCTGGGCTGTCTTAAGTGGTCCGGGTAAGCGGTATATCAGATGTGCTTGTGTCTGTAGCCCAGGCGGAGAGGGTTTGACCGCTGTGGCCCAGACGGCATGGGCAGGAAACGGAAGCAGTTGCAGATCTATGAGGAGCCGGATGCCAAACTGGCCAGGGCTGACAGCGAAGGAGATTTTTCCGAAAACGGTAGGCCCCGGGTGGGTGTAAGATGAATCTGTTTCCTGCTTGGTGCTCTGCCTGCCCGCGCTCCCACGGCCCCCACTGCAGTCAGGACAAGCGCATCACTCTGGACAGTGAGCCTGGGAGGGTGAAACAGTGGGCCAACTCCCAGGGGGCTGACTTTCCCTCTTCTTTGTGTCTGCTAGATGATGGAGCTGCTGACTTCCGGTCAGGAGATGAAGAATTCAGGGGTGTAAGTCCATCTTCACTGGTCACCCTTCTTTGTTTCTCTAGTGTGGGATTTGTTCTTTACTTTAGCCTCTTTTCTCTCAAAGAGGCAGGAGCAGCTTCTGTGGTAGACTTGACTGCTTTGCGAATGGATTTAGTAGCCTGACTTGTAGCTAGTTTTCTAAGAGTTTTGCACTCATGACAATCCTTCCCTTCTTGAAAATAGCCCCAGCCCTCTCCCCAGCCATTCCCGTGTCCTCGGTGATGTGCATAGCCACACGCGTGGCAAGTGCAGTGGGCTGTGTAGGCGGAGGCTTTCGAATACGCACTGAAGATTCCGGTCCTGCCGGCTCTGTGCTGGTGCTCTGGTGCCTCCTGGTCACTCAGCCCTTACAGCCAGTCACAGGAGACGGGCGTTTAAGGCCAGCTCTGACCCATGACCACGCACGAGCACCTAGGTGGTGAGCCTTTGCTGCCGCTGCACATTCTGATCCATGTCTGGGGTAGGGCCTGGAGACCTGGGTGTATGGAGGCTTCGACCGAGTGCTTCTGATAGTCAGATGGGTCAGGGGGAGGGTCTCACTCGCTCCCTATTTGATTTGCTTAGATCTTGAGTCTGGGTATCTTCTGTGTCTCTGCCGGTGACTTATTTAATCTTGAGCTCAATGCCTAAGAAACGGGCTGTGTTCTGATTTTTAGTTAGATGCGTCGTTTTTAATCCATGCCTGGTTTGTTACAGCCTTTGGTAAATATGTACAGATGGCTGGAGAATGTGGTAAAGCCCCTTATCGCATCATACTGGTCGGGATTTCTTGACATAGAGCTGATGGATGGGCTGTTGGCACTCCCACCTGCAGAACTGTGCAGGTGCACGTTTGCCAAGGGCAATTCTTTAGCTGTAGAAAGAATTGGGAAAGGGCCAGTGACTTTAATAAAAAAGTACATTGGTCGTTACAGAATCTCAGGAGGCAACCAGGAGCAGTGACAGGACACACTCAGCCTTTCTCACTGCCCTGGGACTTGTCCTGACACATTGTGACCAGGTGGTGGCAGGGTACTGGGTTGTTTGTGGAGAGTTCTGGAAACTCCACCTCATGGTCCCGACTTTGTGTGTTCCCTTTTTCAGGAGGACGAGTTCTTCGACCCTGGGAGGCAGAGAGGTAGGCATTCCTTGGTGTCCTTTTGAGCTTTCCTGTGTCTGCTCAGCTCCCAGCCGGGCTGGGCTTCTGAGCAAGCCTGGGGCCTGGATGGAGGGACTGATAGCTCAGGGCAGAAGAGGGGCCACGGCCACCGGGTGGGCCATGGTGCTCACCTTGAGGCTTTACTCCAGTGCTTAGACCGGCACTTGCTGGAAACAGGTGTGTTGGCCTCGGTGGGGGGGGGGGGGGGGGGGGGGGGGGGGGGAACACCTCATTTCTGAGTGTCTGCAAGAGCTTGTAGTGATAGGGAAGGGAGAGTCTCAGAAATGCAAGAAAGAAAAGAAAAGGTACCCTTCAGCCCGTCTTCTCTGTTACCTACTGGCCAGTGCAGGTCCCTGTACTGTCTTTTCCTGGGCTTCTTTCTTTTCACAGTTCCCTCGGTTACCAGCCCAGGCTTGTGCCCTCGGCCTCTGTGGTGGGGATGCCGGCAGCGGCAGTGCTCCCTGCTGTGTGGGACGGAGTTCAGACACCTGCCCTGGTTGGGAGCTGGGGGTGGGGGGAGGGGAGACCTGTCAGGTACACCCAAGCCCGGGATCCTCCAGAGACTATCCTTGCTCAACAGGGTTCACCAGTGCCCTTGCAGGGGACCTAAGAGTCCAAAGTAAGCAGCAAGAGCAGAGCAAAATTAAACCTTTTCGAGGGGCCATGGAGAAGTAGCCTGAGACAGTGTGGCCTTGAGCTCACCCAAAAACCATTTGTTTCTTTGCCTGTTCCCATGGGTCTGTCCGTAGCTGGTCTTCCCCAAGAATCACAGGCCGACTCCTTTGTGGCTCTGCCCCCGTAAATCTGCAGGCCCCTGGCTTAGATGCTCCTTCTCCCTTGTGTTCAGCCACCCCGCCGAGGTCCTCCCACCTCAATACCGAAGCAGTTATGCCTGTAGCTTGGGACCACACAGAGCATTTAGCAGCTCGTGCAGCAGGGCAAATGCTAAAGCAAAGGTGACATGTTTATTGCGCACAGGTCCTGCTGCCTACCCGGGATGACTTTGCTATTAAACAGCAGTAATAGTTTCAGGCAGTGACCTCTTGCCAAAAACCCCACACGCCCTTTTGAGAGGCTTCTGAGCAGCGCACGCCGGTCGCCATCTTCGTGGGACAGTCTCGTGACTGGCATCAGGGGTAGGGGTTACAGTTCAGATGCTTATCCAACCTTTCCTCAGTGTCTGGCCTCACGCTGGGACGCTGGGCTGCACGGCTCTCGGAGGAGCTCCTGCGCTGGCCCCAGGGGGCGACGGAGGACCAGTTGGTCTCTTCCCACTTTTGTTTCTAGGACTGCTTCCCTCGTAGCCCTGGGAAGACCCTAGATGGACGGTTTTTGTGAGTGGAAGATAGAGTTTGGGCCAGCAAGGACTGTCAGACCTGCTGAGGCCCTAGTTCAGAGGAGGCTGACGGACAGTCGTCATGGTCCACCCGGAGGTGGGACGGAGGGCGGTAGAGTGGCTTGCTTTATTTTCTGAGGCCTTCCAGCTGCTGCCTCTTTATCTGGGAAGAACTGCTTCTCTCTCTCCTTAAGTGACTTTGGGAGAAGACCCAATGGTAGGGCACTGGATTGGAAAAGCAGGGTAGGAAAGGACAGAGAGCAGGTGGGCCACGGTGTGAGCGGGACGGGCGGGCTGCGTCCCTGGCCCATCCCAGCCTTATCCGGCCGTGGGGGGGAGTAAGGTGACGCCCTGGGAACTCCCAAGGGTTCTCATCCAAGGCCCATCCCTGTTGGGGGAGCCTTTGACCGACTGTTGGTGCCTCAGGGTGTCCTGACCCTGCCGTGTGGAGGCAGCGGCGGGTACGGGGTGTGGTGGCCAAGCTGTGGCCCCCCATCAAGGCCCTGGTGCTCAGCTCCTCTGCGGGCTCCTCAGGGCATCTCGAAGGAACTTCTCTGTTGCAGGGGAGAAGGACGATGAGGATGATGAAGTAAAGAAGAGAAGAGAAAAGCAAAGGAGGAGAGACCGGATGCGAGACCGAGCAGCTGACAGGTGAGGAGGAAGGCAAGGTGGGAGGTGTCAGGGTTCTCCAGAGCTCATCCGTTTTCACTCCACTGTGCAGAAGCAGCCTGGTTTGATCTGCCTCTGGAGTCTGTCAGGAAATGCGAGTCAGGTCGTGAGGAGACAAAACCTGGGAAACACAGATGGCATCTGTTCTTGCCAGTGGGGCTCCGTGGCCCGCATGTGTCCAGCAGGGGGCTCTCTTGCTCTCCTCCCCTGTGGGGAGCTTCCTTGTCCCTGGCTTGGATCTGTCAGCCCAGACAAGTGAACTTCATTCGGCAGAGCTGCTAAGAAGGTGCTTCGGGTGCCTTACCCAAACCCAGATCCCCTCTAGAGTTCAGCATGGCAATTATACATGCATGGATGTTACCTTACAAATTTTGTCTCTAAATAGAAAAAGAATTGCAAAAGTGCAAAGGATGTTGGTGTGACTACACCATGTGCCTCTCTGTCTTTCCAGTGATCAGGTGACTGCTAACTAGAAATGTAAACCACTGGTGGCCACAGGAGCCCTTGGTTGCTCAGGCCTTGACCACATGTGGTTTTTCTCTACACACAGGCTTTCCTTCTGACTTAAGGTGGAATCCCTGCTCTTAAGGCTCAAATGGGGTGGTGCTTTTTCTGTGCAAAGAAACGCAAAAGAAACTAAGGCACCTGGGTGGCTCAGATGGTTGGGCGTCTGCCTTCGGCTCAGGTCATGATCCCGGGGTGCTGGGTTCCGAGCCCCACATCGGGCTCCCTGCTTGGTGCAGAGCCTCCTTGTCCCTCTCCTTCTACTGCTCCTCCTCTCTCGCGCTCTCTGTCAAATAAATAAATAAAAATCTTTAAAAAAAGAAAAGAAACGTTAGCAAAAGAGCCAACAGTGGAGCAAGAAAGCCAGGAACTAGAAGGTAGGAGCTTCCAGGTGCTAAACAGAAATTCATCAAAATGCTTGTTTTCAAACAGATGAATACAGGATGGCTAGATCAGATTGTTTTCACGCCCCAGGAGAACTGAGATGACTTTTTTCCGGAAGGAGTCTTTAGACTCCACCCTGGGGACAGAGGGCCCTCAAAGAGACCTGGAGAGATTGTCACAGGGGAGGTAAAGATGCAGCAGGAAGCACGAACCCCACATTTCTTTGATAGCTTCCCGATACCCATTCATACATATAGGGCCCCAGAGCTTTTTCTTTTCACTTCTTTGTCGAGGGTATATGCAAAAGCAGGTGTTTTGTGGTGCCTTGTCCAGAGATCAGAAGCCAGGCATTGGGAGCTGGCAGAAGTCTGAGTTGGTAGATGAGGAATCCTGAGTGTCACAGGACCTATGCCGTTAGCCCAGATACACCAAAGCCTCCTGGGCAGAGCCGAGGGAAGCAGCGCCCCACTCGGGGCATAAGGCTCTGTGGGCTGCTCTCCCCTTGCCTTACACCATGATTGCATTTATGAGGTTTTTGAAAGTATGCAACAAAGACATCAGTTTTTAGCCATAGAATTTGTTATGACGGGTCTTAATGTTGAGTCCCATGTGAAAATTGACCTTGGGTTTTGTGAGTTTTAGATTGTGGAAGGTTGGGGCGCCTGGGTGGCTCAGTCGTTAAGCGTCTGCCTTCGGCTCAGGTCATGATCCCAGAGTCCTGGGATCGAGCCCCACATCGGGCTCCCCACTCCGTGGGAAGCCTGCTTCTCCCTTCCCCACTCCCCCTGTTTGTGTTCCCTCTCTCGCTGTGTCTCTGTCAGATAAATTAAAAAAATCTTAAAAAAAAAAAAAAGATTGTGGAAGGTCTTCAGGAATTTCTCCCTCACATTAAAATGAGGCTCCCATGTGTTATTTTGGTGGCTACAGAAAGTTTTCAATTAGCAATAATCGCGCCTCGGATAAACCTCATTGGCTACGATACTGCCACTGCGCAAAGCTGGTGGTGGCTACAGAAAGAAGTTATAGAGTTAGGTGCTACGCCCCCCCCAGAGCAGTGGTCTGGGGGCCTTTAGGGAGTCCACAGTTTGGAAAGTCTCCACCTTAGGGTGTTCTCTTGTGGGCCTTTCGGCCAAAAAGACTGGTATGGTGCATGAATCATTTTCCTAAAACACTTTCAAGATTGCACCCCCGTTCTCAGGATGGGGAGACCTGGGGCACCTGCTACTCTGATGCCCCACTCAAAGTCAGAAGTCTTGTTACAGAAATTGCTTCGTGTTTCCCTTTCTGTTCCAACCAGAGATGAGCTCGTTATTCCTATGTCATCGTTCTTTCCGTCTTCCTTTTCCAGGATTCAGTTCGCTTGTTCTGTGTGCAAGTTTCGTAGCTTTGAAGATGAAGAAATCCAGAAGCATCTACAAAGCAAGTTTCACAAAGAGACACTGAGGTTTATCAGTACCAAACTCCCTGACAAAACGGTGGAGTTCCTCCAGGTAAAGCACCCTCGGCCTCAATCACAGTGTTTCCTGATGGTCGTGCAGGAATTGGATCCCTCACAGAGAAGGGACAGGGAAGGGAAATAAGAGGCCTGGACTTTGCAGAGTAACAGCGAACAAGTCCTAGGTCAGAGGGAGAGCCGAGCGCTCCGGCCATTGCAGTCCCCATGAGTTCCGCCCACAGAGCTGCTCGGAGAGCCGTCTTCCCTTCCTTGGGGCAGCTGAGCGGTAGGCACACTTACCACGCTGTCCTCGCTTCATTCGGTGCCATCTTCTCTAGGAGTACATCGTAAACAGGAACAAGAAAATTGAGAAGCGGCGTCAGGAGTTGATGGAGAAGGAAAGCACGAAACCCAAGCCAGATCCTTTCAAAGGTGAGTTGTGATCTTGGGGCACCTACTCCACGTGCTGCCAAGGCGTGCGGCTGGGTGCAAAGCCAGCCCAGCGCAGGGCTACTGAGAATGGGACAGGAAGACCCTCAGGCAGGCTGCCTGGCCGTGGAAAGAAGCCCATGAGTGTGGCCTCATGAATGTCACAGCTCTGCTGGCAGCATATTGGACTGATAGGAAGCCTTCTGGTGTTTTTTCCTCCCTTGTTTGAAGAGAAATGACCAGAAGGATGAAAAGAGTGGATGAGTCAGATCCCCAGGTGTAGAGGTGCTTCTGTCTGCACACTCCTGCTGGAGGGCAGGTGATGGCCCCCACAGGTTCTGTCTTAACCTGGTCCTGCGGGACTACCGGCAGAAAATTGGGGCCCTGTTGGGGGGACAGGAGGAGAGCATCCCTTGCCTGCTGCCCCAGATCACGCCAGCCTTGGGTTGTGTCTACAGGGATTGGCCAGGAGCACTTTTTCAAGAAGATAGAGGCCGCTCACTGTCTGGCTTGTGACATGCTGATCCCCGCACAGCATCAGCTCCTCCAGCGGCACCTGCACTCGGTGGACCACAATCACAACCGCAGGGTGAGTCCCCTCCTCGGGCCGGGCCGGGCGAGCACCTGCAGGTGGCCAGCACTGGGGCTTAGAGCCTTCGAGCCTTCTGTGTCTTGTGGGGAATGCTAGCATCTTTAGAAGCTCTTGACAGAGTCCACCGAGTCCGTGATTTCATCAATGGGTTGTAGAAGGGATCCCAGTTTCTACTAAAATGTGAAAAAACACGTTGCTTAGGGTTGACTTAAGTAGAGTAGCTGAAATTCTCCTGGCTGAGAATGTTCCTTGGCAAACCACACCAGTAAGTTTCCCAGTTGCTGACAAACTGGATTTTCTGGGAGTGGAGGCTGAGGGCCATTCAGAACACAGTGGCCTGGGGACCCAGAGTTAAGAACTGATTTGGTCCTAATTAGCTGATGGGACCCAAGGCTAAATGTGTAGCTCAGGGTATTGGCAGATTTTTTTTTTTTTTTTTTTTATAAAGGGTCAAATCATAAACGTTTTTGGCTTTGCAGGCCACTGGGTCTCTACCACCTCAAGGCCGCTGCCGGTGGGCAGAGGCAGCAGAGTCCAGATAGAAAGCATGGGCGTGGCCGCATTTGGCCCATAGGCTCGCTTGCTGCGTCCTGATTCAGTGCCTGTCCTTAGTCCTGCCCACGCATCTGCTAGCTTATGAAAGATCATCCGAAGAGCACTATACCAACAAGGGATTATTGTTTGAATGGGTCAAGCTCTAAAAGATCCAAATGGTTGTAGCATTCCTCCTTCTGCTGCTGAATTTACTTGTAAGGTCACTATAACTCCGAAAACCGAAAAGAAAAAACTTGCCCTTCTGCCATACTGAGCCCACATAGCACCCGTGGTCTGTCTGTAAGTGTTCTTGTTCCATCCTTGCTCATGCACACGGGACCCGGACGTCCGTGGCATGCCTGTGCTTTTTATCTTTCATCAGACTTTCATACACTGCCTCAGGGTCTCAGTTCTGCTTTCCCTCCAGGGCCTTCTTTCTCTCCTTATTGGAGTCTGGCATTTGGGGATTTGCCTAGTGGAGAGAGCTGGTAGTCCTTGTTCTGTCTTGGGCTGATCCCAGGGCAACTCAGTGGAGCCTGGATAGTTTGTGTTCTTGCTCCTCTGTGCACCCCATGTATAAAAGTCCCTTTGGTTCCCTTTGCAGTTGGCTGCTGAACAGTTCAAGAAGACCAGTCTCCATGTGGCTAAGAGTGTTTTGAACAACAGACACATAGTGAAGATGCTGGAAAAATACCTCAAGGTTTGTGCTTAGGAGTGCAGCAGACGGGAAAAGGTTCTGGAATGCAAGATGAACTCTGCGAGTGTGGAGTTGCATGCAGAGTGCAGTATTTAGCATTTCTGAGTCTTAAGAAGAATGGACGGGGTGCAGGAATGTATCGGGGTGGGTTTCCTGCGCCTCCCTGCTCACCCGGGCTCTGGGACATGGTCCTGCTTGATTGGTCTGTGTGCTGGTGCGAGCTCACCATGAGAAACCTCAGATACCCACAAAATACTGAGCAAGTGATGCTGAGGTGCTTACAGGGAAATCCAGGTTAGATAATGGTTGTCCAGGAAAGAAGCCAAAAAGAGGTTTTGCTGGCAGAGACCAGTAGCCATGAGCCAGGAATGTGAGGGGGAGGAGGAGCTGGCGGTACAGCAGCTACTGAGTCTTAATGATAGGAGCAGAGTAATAGAGAGTCCCAAAGAGGGCACCCCGGAGAGAAGTCCAGCTGGGAGAGCCCCTGGTTCCTCCTTGGGAAGCCCCACTTGCTAAACACTCAGCCCCAGACTTCCACATGGGGCGCGCGCATAGTTAAGCGCCAGCACAGCCCGACTATGAGGACCTGTTTGCCCACCTCTCAGTTACTAAACCCTTCAGTACTTGATGGTTCCGGCCAGCCATTTAAAGGCATAGACTCTAAATAACCAATTTAAGAACCGTGACTGGTCAGTGTTTTTGTTTTTATTTTTTTATTTTAAAGATTTTTTTTTTTTATCTTAAGTAATCTCTACACCTAACGTGGGGCTCGATCTCATGACCCTGAGATCAAGAGTCGTGCGCTCCCCTGACTGAGCCAGCCAAGTGCCCACTAAATACTGTATTTTAAAACCTATTTCTTGGGTGCCTGGGTGGCTCAGTCGTTAAGCGTCTGCCTTCGGCTCAGGTCATGATCCCAGGATCCTGGGATCGAGTCCCACATCGGGCTCCCTGCTCAGCGGGAAGCCTGCTTCTCCCTCTCCCACTCCCCCTGCTTGTGTTCCTGCTCTCGCTGTCTCTCTCTGTCAAATAAATAAATAAAATCTTAAAAAAAAAAAAAACCTATTTCTTAATCTGCTGATGATAATGTTTACATTTTCTAAACCAGA